GAGGACACCGCGCAGCTCGAGGAAGAAGGTAAGAGACGCCCTGTGTATTCCCGAGTGTGGCTCGGGGGTACCGCTTTGGTACAGAAAATTAACCCCCGAGCCACACTCGGGAATACCACCAGGGAGGTTAAAGCTCATCTCCAGCCAAAACTTTTTTTTAAAAACAAACTTTTTATTGTTGCTGTTTGTGCTGCATTGGAGAGATAATAAAAATGGGCACAACAGATGTACAGGGCTGCAAACTCAGTACAGTTCAGGATGGTGGGAGCCCCCATTATGGGCATAACAGGTGTGTAGACCCAAGAACGCAGTGCAGGGATGGTGGAGGCCCATCATATTGGGCACAGCTGGTGTACAGACCCAGGAACTAAGCACAGGTATGGTGGAAGCCCCTCATAATGGGCACAGCAGGTGTGCAGACCTGGGAACTCAGCACAGGGATTGTGGAAGCCCCTCAAAATGGGCACAGCACGTGTGAAGACCCAATAACTTAGTGTAGTGCAAGGGTGGTGAAAGCCCTCATAATGGGAACAGCAGGTGTGCAGACCTCCGAACTCAGCACAGGGATTGTGGAAGCCCCTCAATATGGGCCCAGCAGGTGTGAAGACCCAATAACTTAGTGCAAGGATGGTGGAAGCCCTCATAATGGGCAAAGCATATGTGTAGACCCAAGAACTCAGTACAGGGATGGTGGAAGACCTTCATAATGGGCACAGCAGATGTATAGACCCCGGAATTTACCACAGAGCTCTCATCAATAGCATTAAGCGAACTGGCCTGGGTTCGTGCAGCGTCATTAGTTGCTAGGGCACAGACGGAGGAACGGTAGGCAGGCGAACTGGTCAAACCGTTCGTACGTTTGGCAAACTGCAAAAAGCTTAGCTGATGCTCATCCCTACTCACCAATACCAAACCCAAGATATAAAAGCAGCCCTCGGGGAGTTTAACTCTCTGGCATCTACCAAACGCAAAAATAAAAGTTTCGGGTGGAAGTATCCTTTATTAAATGTTACAGAAATGTAACATTTTATCATGATCACAGATGAGATGGAATAGACTGTAAATGTACTTTTTTTTGTCATTGTGGCATTACTAAGAGGAAAAAAAAAACTTGGTGCCATTCAGCTACCCACAATAAGCTGATCAGGGTGCGGATTTTCAAAACATTCCCAGAAATTCCTAACGCCTGAATGTCACCGCTTAACATGCTTAAACGGTGGTATTTTGCCGATAAATGGCACGGTTTATTAGCACCTATAGGCTCCCTAGGCTTTTTTTTTTTAAAGGTTAGCAGAGGAATGCGTTCACTTTCTCAGGCATGAATAGACTCCTCAGCAAAAGATTTATTTGGAGCGGCTCGCTCTCTTTATTTCAGCGTGATTGCTGCGACACGCCCTCCTCGGGGGCCGAAAGAATGGCCTTTTTTTTATCATTCTGTCCTCGTGCTTGTAATCAACAACCGGGCCCAATGTTAAAAAAAAATCTCTTCACTGTGAGATCAGGAGACCTGATTTTTAGACACAAAAAATGTCTTTGGGACTGATTGGCGTTGCCATATCGGCAGCAGAAAATTTGCTTGGAATTAGGTAAAGAAAAGTAGAAAAAAATAAAATAAAAGCTATTCATGACACAACAACAAAACAAGCCCCCCCCCAAAAAAAAACAGGGGGGGACATTTTGATGAAGTCACCGCGGCTCGCTCGGCTGTTTGCAGACAAGGGGTGTGGAAGGGCGGCGGAGTCATGAATATTAATGAGCGTTTTATATACAGACAGATAACATAATAGTAGCCATGGCGACGGAATTCTTGGAGAGGTGTCAGGACGTCCAATGGATGCGCGTAGTGTAACCGAAACAGTAAATTGTCTACATGATTAGGGAGGGCTCCGTCACTGGCAGCAATGTAAATTGTGTATCTTGGCACAGGCTTAAAC